ATTTACCTCTGAACATGCTTTGTAACCACCAATTACGTTGAAGGACATGCCATTCCTGTAGGACAGAGATGGGAAAAAAAAATAGGAGATTGTAGCTCATGGGCATAAGCCTAATTTCACCAGATATGAGGATCATAAAGCTTCATGCCAAAGGTGATTTTTTTAAAAAGGCAACTGGATGTTGTCTTTCCTTGAAGGCATTTTGCTTCTTATCCAAGAAGCTTCTTCAGTTCTGCAGAGCTTCTTGGATGAGAAGCCGAATGTCTTCAAGGAAAAACGAAGTCTAGTTGCCTTTTAAAAAACCATGACCTGGATGACTTGAGAATTTCCATAAACATAACATATCGGGTTCATCTATGCCTTCCAAGAAGCTGTGGAATGATGTGGAATATAATTATCCCAAAGATTTAGGGAAGAAAGCAGCAAGAATAGAACTCATCTTTGGAATGTTACCATAAAAGATATTGTTTTTAGACCATGACCTTTTTTTGCAAATAGGAAACTTTAAGATGATTCCTATTGATCTCAAGAACTTCAATCAGAGACCTGAATTCTGCATTCGGGGCAGAATTCACCAACTACATGAAAGATTTTTCACATTTGTAAATGATGGATGAATAGGAATTGAGGCCACCGATGTCACAATAGTTTCATTTTTCAGTGAGAAAGAGAGCTTTTTCCCTCTTTGTGGTTCTCTAGCATGAAGTGGACCAGAGGAGAGGCATAATCTCTCAAGTGAGAACCTCTCAACAATCAATGTCTTTCAATACTTCTTCATTTTGCTACCTTGGTTCTCCTGCAATGCAATGAAACAACCCAAGAAAAAGAGAAACTGCACAGAATTGAGATGTGCACCCAATGTTATCCAGATAAGAATTTAGGTAGTGGGTGTGTTCAATAATTGGGAATGCTTCATAATTTAACAAAGAGCTTTGAACTCCAAACCTTGGTAAGCAGCTTATTGTCCACATAATTACCCTGTTCCCAATTAGTTATACATTCATAATCAAACAACCTGGAGATGCTATTTTTGAATCATATTGTGCTGCAGGATATTTCAAAGATATTGGAGGGGTTTTAGGTGTTGTTGTTCTAACCAAATAAATATTCCATCTTCCAATTATTGTTTAATTGCAAAAAACCTGGACCCCATGTGACATTGAAGAGATCCCAGGATGGCATGTAGGTGCCTCAAATGATTTCGAGAAATTGCACCTGACTTTTAATGTGATGGAGGGGAAAATTGTACAAGCAATATTCCTGTTAACTCAATTGAATTAATTTTAATTAGATATAAATGTCAATTCAATTGCATCCCTATTAATTAAATTGGCTTGGTCCCACTCATATCTTTGTCGAATCAACTTAATTTGGGCAGATTTGTTCCTGGCATGCCACGTGAAGGGCAAGTGAAGCTCTTTGCTCGAAAAAAGTTTGAGCTTCCAAGACTGAGGTCAAAACTGAGAAAGCCACCGTGGCATAGTGGTTGATGTAAGATCCAGGAGATTTAGATTCTAGATTCTAGATCTAGATTCAAGTCCATTCTCAACCTTGGATTCTTACTGGTAACACTGGGCCAGATAGAGACCAAAGGTAATAAATGCATCATTATGAACATAACCAACTAACTCAACTCTTCTAGTTCTCATCCTCGTGCTGTTAATTAATTATTTTATCCACTGAATTTTGGGGCTGTGCCTCCAGTGAGTCAATGGGTGGAAGGAAGGTCTCTTTGAATCCTTGGTGTGATCTTTTCTGAACTTGGCTGTTTGCTTGCAGACATTTCATTACCCAACTAGGTAACATACATAATCAGTGCTAGTGAGCATGGAACAATAAACTCTACACTCCTTTGTCAGGATGTAACCTAGTTTAGAGAAGCAACCTAAAACTAAGGAGAAATATCCTGACAGATAGATTAATTCATCAGTGGAACAATTTGCCTCCAGAAGTTGTGAATGCTTCACTATTGGACGTTTTTGGAGGACTTCCAGTTTGAAGGGCTTTGGCGAAAGACAGAAATCCATGATCGTGCGTGGTTTCTGTCTGGGCTCGCCTCTGGAGCGCCCCGAGCTGGCTGGTTTTGGGGCTAAGCCATCCCCTAGAGGTGATGAAGATGGGGGAGACTGCCAGCAGGGTTGAGGAGAGCCGCATCTCTCCTCCTCAGCTGGGCATTACTCCCTTTCCCGAAGGCGGTTGCAGCAGTGGTCAGAAATGGCCACCACAAAGGAGAACTCGACCAGGAAAGAATGTGCAGGAGGAAGATAAGAAGTGAAAGTTTTGGCTGACTGGGTAAAACTGTAAAAGCAACAACTAAGGTACCCTGGAATTTAAACTTACAAAAAATAACATTGTTCCAAAAGAAGAGTCGGAAGCAGCAAAGGAAAGTGAAAAGGGAAAGGTTTGGCTTTTTTTCCTTCTCTCTTCTTCCCTATACTGACAACTAAGAGACTTAAATAAGAAATTGGAAAAATCTGCTTTGACATCAATAGGCAATTAAGCTGAAAATAAAACAAAATGCCAAAGGTATAATAAAGATTTCTGGATATTAAAATTTTTCTTTTTCATAAGCAGGAAGAGAGAGGAAAAGAATAAGGGCAGGATCTGGAAGAGAGAGGAGACTGCCTGGACTTTAAAAGAATCTAAAGTAAAATTTCAATAAGACTTCTAAAAGATAGATTTTAACTGAAACTTTGCAACTAAATAGTAACCCCAGGAAGAGAAAGTTAAAAAAAAAAGAGCAAAAAAGAAACAGCTTGCGTGTATTTGGATTATTTGGTGATCTTTGGATTCTTGGTTATTATATTTGAATGACTAAAATCAATCGGGTGGTTGTTTAAAAATTTATACAATGGCACCACTTCTGGATGAATTGAAAATGGAACTTAAAAAGTACAAAGAAGATGCACAAGAAGGGAAGGGTTCATTTGGCTTCATTTTTCAATTCTTAGAAATGGAGGTTTGGAACTATGAGAAACAAGAAACGACTGCAAAACAAGAAGACTGGGACAAAGAAGAAGCCATCTTTAATGAACAAGTAATTTTATGTGGGGAAGAAAAAGGAAAGGGGGGAAAGAGAATGGAGAATTTAAGACTTAAAAAAACAACCAAAGAAAAGAAAAAATAATTTGAAAAATAAGTATAATACTGGAAAGCAACAGAAAAGGGGAATACAGAAGAGAGAAATAGAGGTAGAGAGACAAGGGGGTAAAAAGAGGAGAGAGAAGAAGAGAGGGAAGAAGGAAAGGAAAAGAAGTTACAAAAGACCAGAGCAAGATATAGAGAAACAGGACTTATTTAGAGATAATGGGTGAAAATCTAACTGAAAAAGGGATTCTGTAAAGGTACATAAGATTGTATTGTTATATTAGTAATAGAAATAATTTTAGAAAATTGGAAACAACGTATGATTAAAATGAGGGATAAAATAGTTAGTGTAATTTAGTGAGATGTTTGTGAATAAAATAAGTGAAATAAAATAAATGAGAAAATTGAATTAGGAAGGAACGGGAACATTTTAATTAGTTAATGTTTTATAAAATATAAGTGAAGGGGGGAATTAACTATGGAAAGCTTATAATTGTTCCCATAGAAGTATGATATTTAATTGAAAAGTAATGTTAAAGATATTAAGACTTTAATGAATATTAATATTAATGATAGAATTGAATTGGAATGGAATGTTTTAATTATATATATTTATATATTTTTTCTTTTTTTAAGAATACAGCGTGTATTTTAAGAATGTACCAAGCAGAATCCGAATGGAAGTTATGTATTATATTGAATGTTACAACTTTAGGGAAAAGATATAAAGCCGTCATACTCCAATCAGTAACTACAGGATAAATTTTGTTTAATGAGAAAAGATAATAGATAATTGAAACAGGACAGACAAAAAATATAAATACAATGATTTGAATTGAGATGAGATAATTAAAATAAAATTGAGAAAATTAAAAGAGGGGAGAAGCTATGCAGAAAATGTAAAATAGTAATAAGATATGGAATAGAATATAAAAATGAGCATGAACCTGAATTTGTGTCTGTACGAAGAAATGTAACCTGGGATTATGCTACTTTCAAAAAAGATGTTTTATTTGTATTTTTTTCTCTTTGTGAAAACTCAAATAAAATTTACAAAAACAAACCAAACATTGGACATTTTAAAGAAGCAATTGGATAAATATTTGTCTGAAATGATGTAGGGTTTTCTGCTGGAGCCAGGGGGGTGGAATAGAAGACCTCCAAGGTTCCTTCCAACTCTACTATTCTGTTAGTTTGGTGCTGAAACATTGTCAACATTCTAGAAAATAATTCCAATAAATAACTCCGAGACGGACATGTTCTCAAAGTTTTCTTTTATTAGAATAGTGAACTGGCACATCTGGGAAATCCCGAATCTGAAAATTCTGGGCTTTCCTCCAATAAGTAAAAAAATTACAAACCCACCCCCTGCATCCATCATTCCATCACATGCCCCAATCACCATCTGTCCCAATTTGAGACATTCCTTCAAGCACTCCTCACTCAGGTGCAGAAATTACGTGACCTTGACTGTAAAGAAGAATGCTATTCTGTCTAACCACATTACGCTCCATAATATCCCCCCTCCCATCTTCCCAAGCACAAGAATGTGGCAGCATGGAAGCTTCTGGTGCTAACATGGCTTCCAAAGCTGACAAACATTTTCAAGCAGACCTGAAGCTGAGAAAGCACCAAGGACTCCACAATTCAACCGTGAGCTACAGACGAATTCTCTTCTATACGAAAGTCCTTCCCTAGTGTAGGGAGACATTTAATGGTCCAGGCTGTGTCTTTATTCTGTTAATCAGTGCCAAAGTGGACACATTGACCTTATGGATATCGTTTAATTAAGCTTATCACTACAGTCCCATTCTCGCTCCCCAATGGACAATAGTAACTAATTCAATATCCTCTCTTTAAGGATCCTCACCATAAATGCCAGGGGTTGTAATTCACTGCAAAGAACCTCCCACCCAACTCTTCTATATGAAGCAAGGATGTCCAGGAAAGGACCATTGGACTTTTGTCTATTCTGACAAGTCATTGCACTGGTTGATATAACTTGGGGGGTGGGGGTGGGGTGGGAAATGCAGCCATCAAAAATGTAAATTTGATGTTGAACAATACTCCCAAATTAATATTACAGAATTTGATGTTTTATGGGGGTCAAAAACATCTATCCTATGTCTATTGAACCTAGGGCCCAGGAAGGAGAGTTATTTTAGATAGATAAAAGAAAAGTTAAATAGTTAATTCAAGAAATGTGTTCCCATTGATTTCTGAAATGTCATTACACCGTAAAAATGAGAATTTGCACAAGATATTTTTATATGGATTAGATGTAATAATAAATTGAAGACTGAGATCTGTATTAATATTCTATAGATTTTTTTTTTCCTCATTTCCTTCATTTAGCTTTAGTTCACTTGAGCTTTTCTGGTTAATTTCCTTTCTGACTGCATAATCACTGCATTATTATTATTAATATTCTCTGCTGTTTGTTATACATTGGAGAAAGAAAAATGTACAGGTTTTTACCGGTGACAAATGAAATGAAATCAATTAGATGTTGGAACAACTTCTATCAGGCACCTGTTTCTTACTCATTCCAGATGCTGCTTCCTTTTAACATTTGATAGACTTGGCACGGCTACCCTGACAATCCAACCATCTCAGGCTCCAGCATAAACATTAATTAATTAAATAATTGGCTAAATAATTAACATGCTGCCCGTCTCCCCATCAAGCAGCTGGATCTGGGATGCACGTAATAATCTACCAGCTGATTCTGAAAAAAGAAAAAGAAAGATACATCTAGATCTGAAAATAGAAGGGTTCCTCTCCCTTTTCTGCTCCACAATAACAGTCTTCAACTCTCTCTCTCTCTCTCTCTCTCTCTCTCTCTCTCTCTCTGTGTGTGTGTGTGTGTGTGTGTTTGTCATTAAAGATGCATCAGGTTCAAAAAATGCAAGGTCTGGTCCTCTCCCTCTTCCATTTGGTCTTTCATTTGGGAAGGGAAAGGAGAGAGAGAGAGGAGAAGGGAGGAGGGGAGAGGCAAAGGGAGGTGAAGGGAGAAGAGGAGAGGGGGAAGGAGGAGAGGAGAGGAGAGGAAAAATAGAAGGGAGGAGAAGAGGGAGGAGAGGAGTGGGGAGAGGAGAGGCAAAGGGAGGTGAAGGGAGAAGAGGAGAGGGGGAAGGAGGAGAGGAAAAATAGAGAGAGAAGGAAGGAACAGAAGGCAAATGAAAGGAAGGAGGAAAGGAAAGGAAAGGAAAGGAAAGGAAAGGAAAGGAAAGGAAAAAACCTGTGGGCTTTCCAGGGATCTAAAACGGGGGGGAAATCCCTCAGAATTCCTTCAATTGGCAGGGGTGTTTCTTCCAATACCCTCCAAATCCCCCTCAAAATAATAACCAAGACTAAATGATCAGGGGGCACATTGCTTTGGCTACTTTTGAAGCAAGATGTTCAACACCCAGCAAGTCAATCAGATATCCTCAATAAAGAGGAAAGAACCCCCCCACACACACACACAAAAAAGAACGTGTCGCATCTTTTAGCAACTATAGCTCTGTCTTTTAGCTTGCATATCACCCTAGTTGATCCAAAGGACTTGATGTTTTTTTTTCTCTTTTATCTGCTAGCAATTTACAGCCAAACAACAACAACAAAAAACCCGCCCAACAACAACCTGATAATGTTCAAAGTACTTTCCTTATGGAGAAGGTGCAAGGAAGTTCTCCATTTCAGGACGATTGGAGGTGGTGGGAAGAGAGGCTGGTGTCATAGGAGGCTCTGACATTCAAGGGCATAGGGAAAAGCAGGCGTGTAATTATATGATGTAATTAAATGATTAAGATTGAGGTGAAATCATTTTTAAGAAGCAAGACTGGGGTTGTTTACTCGGGGAACGAAGGCAGAAGAGAAATGGAAAGGAGGAAGGGAGGGAGATGTTATTTTAAGAAAAAGCAGGTTGCAGAAGCTCATCCAGGCAACCCTTAGACAAGGGAGAAAGCCTGGAATGAAAGACACCGGTAAAATTGAAAGCCAAGGGAGTTATTTGTTTGCAATTATAGAATCATCAATATTACAACAGCTGAATTCACGCAAGGTGTGATAACCTGGTTACTGATTTAAACAGGGAGGGGGAAGGCGTGAAACACTGATGCTTTGAATGATAAACGAGCCAAGCAACTGGATGCAGGTGGGTGTGTGAAACGACCCCCCCAAAGGGAGCACAATTAACACTAACTATGAGGTCCTTGGTTTTTTCTGAGTTTGGTTGTGATCTGACAGTTGACCTAACTAGGTAATGTCATCAGCACTACCAAGGAGTGGGGTTTGGGGATGGGGGAGGAGGAGGAGGAGGAGGAGGAGGAGGAGGAGGAGGAGGACTGTGAAGTCCTTGGTGTTCTCTGAGCTTGGTGGTTTTCTTGCATAAGTTTCATGACCCAACTAGGTAATGTCATCAGTGCTGGAAGGGAGAGGAGGAGGAGGAGGAGGAGGAGGAGGAGGAGGAGGAGGAGGAGGAGGAGGAGGGGGAGGATGTTTGGCAGATGTTTCATGGCCCAACTAGGTAGCATCATCAGTGCTGGAAGGCAGTGGAGTTTAGGCAGAGGAGGACATCTGTGGAATTCTTGATGCTTTCTGAGTTTGGTTGTGTTCTTATAAAGGTTTATTACCCAACTAGGTAATGTCATCAATACTACAAAGGAGTGGGGTTTGGGGAGGATAGGAGGAGGAGGACTGTGGGATCCTTGGTGATCTCTGAGCTTGGTTCTCTTCTTGCAGATGTTTCATGACCCAACTAGGTAACATCAGCAGTGCTAGAAGGGATAGGGGGTTGCGGAGAGGAGGAGGTAGAGGTGAAGGTAGAGGATGACCTCTGAGCTTGTTGTTTTCTTGCAGACATTTCATTACCAAACTAAGTATCATCCTCCGTGCTAGAAGGGAGTGGAGTTTACATTCTGTATAAATTGTGCACATCCCCCTTTTCCCCATTCGCCAAGAAGCTTCACTGGCATGGCTTGGTCTTTGAAGCCAACCAAAACTTGGAAGACCTCTTTCTTCTCTCAATTCTTCAAATCACACTCATTATTTTATTTTATTTTTTGCCCTCTCAAATTTGGACGTCTCCCTCCTCTTCCGTTTTCACTTATGACCTGGCCATCTTTCTCTATCCCACCCAGACACTTACTTAGTTTGCCACAGCCTGACTAGATGAGGCTACTAAATTCTACAGATTCTTCTACAAATGCTCATGGCCGTTTCATTAAACTGCTTGCCTCTCCCTGTCTATCAAATCTCAGAATCCAACTCTCTCGATCCTTCACTGCTGTTCTTGAAATCACAATAGGTATTCTGTCACTCAGCCTCTCCGAATGCCACATTTCTACATATTTCTTACTTTCTTAGCTTTGATTGGCTGGATGTTTTTTATTACTTGTTCTTCCCCGCTTCATCAGTGCTAAAGAATCTTCCAGTGAGTCACATGCTAAATGACTTTTCCTCTAAGGTTATTTCTCGCTTAATGGGAGCGTAGGAGATCTGTGCATTTAAAGCATGAGTCTGCCACAGCCAGATGGGAACATGGTAATCTGGTTTTGATGAGCAAAATGGGTGAATGGAGAAGAGACACTTGGACGAGGTGTCTGTACAGGTTAGGTGAAACCTGGCTCAAAAACAGTAACAGTGAGATGGACCTTAGAGTCCTAGTGGACGACCATTAAAACATGAACCAATTGTGTGTGGCAACAGCCAAAAATGCTAACACAATCCTTGGTTGTATAAACAGAAGCCTAGCGTCAAAATCACATGAAGTATTAGTACCACTTTATAAAACCTTGGTAGGGATGTGGTGGCTCAGTGGCTAAGATGTTGAGCTTTTCTATCAGAAAAGTCGGCAGTTCGAATCCCCGGCACCGCGTCATGGAGTGAGCTCTCGTGACTCGTCCCAGCTTCTGCCAACCTAGCAGTTTGAAAGCACGTAAAAATGCAAGTAGAAAAATAGGGACCCTTTGGTGGGAAGATAACAGTGTTCTGTGTGCCTTCAAAGGTGTTTAGTCCTGCTGGCCACATGACTACAGAGACGTCTTTGGACAGCGCTGGCTCTTTGGCTTTGTAATGGAAATGAACGGTGACCCCTAGAGCTGGAAACGACTAGCACACGTGTGAGAGGAACCTTTACCTTATAAAACCTTGGTAAGGCCACACCTGGAATACTGCATGCAGTTTTGGTCACCACACTGCAAAAAAGATGATGAGACTTTGGAAAAAGTTCAAATAAGAGCAACTAAGACAATTAAAGGCCGGAAGACTAAAACACATGAAGAACAGTTGCAGGATTTGGGTTTGGCTAGTCTAGACCAAAGAAGGACTAAGGGGGACGTGATAGCAGTCTTCCAATATCTCAGGGGCTGCCCCAAAGAAGAAGGGGTCAAGCTCTTCTCCAAAGCACCAGAAGGCAGGAGAAGCAGCAACGGATGGAAACTAATCAAGGAGAGAAGCAACCTGGAATTAAGAAGAAACTTTCTAACAATGAGGACAATCAACCAGTGGAATGGCTTCCCTTCGGAAGTCATGGGTGCTTCATCACTGGAGGTTTTTAAGAAGAAACTAGACAGCCACTTATCTGAAATAATACAGGTTCTCCTGCCCGAGCAGGGGGTTGGACTAGAAGACCTCCAAAGTCCCTTCCAGCTCTATTCCGATTGATTGATCGACAGTCTGGCTTTGCTTTATAATCATCAGTCAGGCTGATCGGGAGCCCGAAACGAAGACAAAACACCTTGGTTGAAAGGGACTGTGGGAGGCTGTCCGAGGACGGAGGCCTCACCCTCTTGTGGTTCGCCAGAAGCAGGTGGGGATGGCTGTGGTCTCGGAGAGCGAGGACTCAGGTGAGGGGCCTGTGTGGGGATGGGGCCAGGACTATCAGGGAGTGGAGTGCTGCCTTTGGAGATTGTGGAGGCTGGCAGCAGTGATGAAGAGGTTCCTGAGGAGCCTGTGCCCAGTGTGCTGCTCGCAGGGCTGCTCGTAGGAAAGAGCAGCTGCAGCGGCATGGGCAACTCAGGAGTAAGTCTGCCCCTCCCTTAAGGGATAAAAGCCAGCTGAGAAACCGGAGTTCTTTGCAGGAAGCAAAGAAGTTTTTGCACTCAAGCCTTGTGGACATTCAGATTATCTTAGTTGGTGTTTGGAGACTCTTTGTGTTTGAAATATTTCTTAGTAACTTTATCTAGAGTTCCTGGCAGCCTTGCACCACCTTGGCAAGGCTCATTCTTATCAGAGACAATTAGTTTGAAACAGCCTTTTAATCGCGAAGGAACAGAATTCGTAAAGAATCATTAAAAGGTTTTGCTGTTACCTCTATTTCGTGTTTGTTTCCTTGGAACAAGGTTTGGGTCAGAACACCCCTCTCACACACACACCCCGACTTCTCCTCCTTGAATGGAGCTAACCTCTTTCCAGGTAGCTCCAGTGGCAGACCCGGAGTCTAAACACTCAGATCTATTGACATTGTATCTTGTCAGGCTCCAGAGCATCCGTAATTTTTTGCCGCTTTTGATCAGAGGACGCCTGGTGACAAGACTGAACTTGTACCATTTCAAGGCTAGCCTGATAAAGATCAAAGAAAGGGGGAAGCTTTCAACGCTTGTGGGGCCCCGTTGGAACAGATGCACATTTACTCGTCAAGGATCAAAGCCCGCCAAATGCTAGAAAAACCGCACAGGCCTGGCTTTTGAGCACCTAAAGCAGAGCAAAATACACATCGGTTTACCGAAATCCTGGTGGACCATTGCATATGGCTGATGGGTTAAGCTTGATCACAGGATTTATTTATTTGATTTGATTTGTCAATCACTTACAAGATAATAGGTATAAGTCAGGGGTGGGATTCAAATAATTTAACAACCGGTTCTCTTCCCTCATGATTTCTTCCAACAACCAGTTCACCAAACTGCTCAGAAAGTTAACAACTGGTTCTGTTTAACCAGTGCGAACTGGCTGAATCCCACCACTGCTATAAGTATAAACATGAGTAAGAATACCGGAAATAGGTATGAATAAATGCTGACAATAGGACAGGGACGGTGGGCACGATAGTGCACTTATGCACGCAAATATTTCCTTTTTTACATGTGCAATTCTTTCCTTTTTTGTTTTTTTTACATTGCTTATTTAATTTATTTGGGGGGGGGGGGAATCCTCTATCTTGAAATTGGCCAATCAGCAGAAGGGGAATATTGCTCCCGACACAGGATTTTTATATTTGTCATGCAGAAATCTTATTTACAAATCTTCCCGATTAACTGGCATGAAATTTCCATACCGGAATGTGCTGAAATAAGAGTGTTGTTTCAGGAAAGAAAAGGATGAGTCACTTAATGAACAATGAATAACTTATATGTGTGAATGCCTAATAAGGAACCTAAATCAATAAATACCATAGCCATTTCATTCTTAACCTCCAGCCAGAATGTTTCTGGAATGGAACGCATTCAATTGCAAATCAAGTGATATACATGCCTATTTGTAGTAAATGGATTGGTCATTTTACAACAACCTTATTGTTTTGTAGTGATGGCTCTTTATCTTCATGACTAGTGAGATTCTCATGAGTAGCATATAACATTCTTGCATTTATCGAGCCAGGAGAGACGGATGGATGCCCTTCCCTTCTGTTCTCCCTGCTCCAACATTTTCTGACCTGCTTTGGTTTCCTTCACTTCCATTGAATCAGAAGGATTTGGGGATGGAATTTTTTTTTTCAATTACAATATTCTTTTTCAGTAGAGAATAGAGCAGAGATAGAGCTGGAAGGGTCCTTGGGTCCTCTACTATTTCAGAGAAGTGACTGTCTAGTCTTTTCTTAAAAACCTCCAGTGATGGAGCACCCACGATTTCTGAAGGCAACTTCTGTTCCACTGGTTAATTGTCCTCACGGTTAGAAAGTTTCTCCTTCATTCCAGGTTGCTTCTCTCTTTGATTAGTTTCCATCCATTTTTTTCTTGCCCTGCCCTCTGGTGCTTTGGAAAATAATTTGA